CATTTTGAATGAGTCATAGACCAATGTATTGTGAAGATATGGTGTACCCTAGTTCCAAGTCAACACCCAGGGTCAATCCTAAGGCCAAGTAGCCCTATAGGAACTCTTCTTGAGCTTCCCCCATAATGATCTTACCTATCAAATATTAGAGGATAGGACCAATATGTGGAACTTCAAGTTGAGTAAAGAGAAGAGTTTTGAGTTTCTAATGATGAGGGTACCCTTTCTAGTTTTCTAAGACTAGTCTATAGGAAAATTCTATGGCTAGACCTAGGCTACTAAAGAAATTTCTAGACCTCAACCAAAAGTGAGGTCAACAGAGCTGAATATAAGTCATATCAACACCTTTCTTCTCAAGAACTCTTCAAAGGATATCTCTTGGGACTTTATTGTAAGCTTTTTCTAAATCAATAAAAATTAAATGTAGATTCAATTATCTCTGAACTTCTCCATCATACCTCTCAATAAATGTATAACTTCCATAGTAGACCTGTTCGGCATAAATCCAAATTGATTATGAGAAATATTTGTAATGTGTTTTAACCTATGTTCAATTACCTCTCCCATAACTTTAAAGTATGGCACATCACCTTAATTCCTCTATAAGTTGCACACTCTTGTGCATCCCCTTTAATCTTAAAAATGGGGACCAAAATACTCTTCCTCCACTCCTCAGACAACTTTTTGTTTTTAAAATAATATTAAAGAGTTCAGTAAGCCAAGAAACTCCCAAATCTCCTAAATATTTCCACACTTCAATTGGGATATCATCAGGTCTTACAGACTTTCCACCATTTGTTTTTTTTAAAACCTCATCAACTTCTTTTTTACTAATGCGACAGTAAAAATGAAACGTTTTATTGTTATTCATAATATTAAGATCACTAAGGTCGATCGTATTTTCGTAAACTTCATTAATAAGTTTATCAAAATAACTCACCCACCTATGTTGAATATCTTTTTCTAAGAAAACTAAGATTAATAAGTTTATCAAAATAACTCACCCACCTATGTTGAATATCTTTTTCTAAGAAAAGTACTTTTTGATTTTTCATCTTTAATACACTTTACTTGAGTTAAATCTTTACTTTTCTTTTCTCTTTGTTTAGCTAGTTTATACATATATTTTTCACCCTCCTTAGTATCTAATCTATTATAAAGATCATTAAAAACAAAATTTTTAGCGTCACAGATTGTTCTTTTAGACTCCCTGCGGGCCGTTTGACATTTTAAAAATTAATAAAACAAACTATGAATTGATTTAATTTATAGAATAATTATTTTAGAAATTTTATAGTGAAAAAATATATAAATAACTTAATATTAAATTTTTATTACATTTTAATAAATATAATTATTAAAAATTTTTAAAAATCAATAATTTTTGCGCATTAGTATAATTATAACTCAAGCTTGAGCATCATTTTACAAATTTAAACATTATTACTCTTAAGTTCTTATGAGCCATTAATATGCTTATCTTGATCAATCATGAGCTCTAAATTAAGTGCATAAGCGTCCACAAGAATCTTTAATTTGAACAATTAAGCAAGCTTAAAGTTTGTAAACAAAATTTGTTAGATTTATCAAAAAAAAGTATTTATTATCAACAAAATTGTGGAATCAATAATTTAACATTAAATTTTTTTGTAGTAAATTTTTTCTTAGGAAATTTGAGTTGATATGACAATAATGCATATAAGTGAATAAACATTCATATCACTATTTTGTTGAAACAATATACATAAAATGTTCTTTTAAAAAAATTTCATTAATAAAGGACCTTCTTATACTCATGGACTTTTTTTTGAAGTTAAACAACTCCCACTGACGACTTCCTCCGATGCGATCCCTTTGATGACTTCTCCTAATGAGTTGCCATCATTAACCCATCTCTCAATACATCGTCAATCCTGTCAATACCTTCCTATATCAGTTTCCCAACTCAACCTCTATTTATAGCAATCTCCTTACATATTGTTAGTTAAAGTGATCCTTAAGTGAGTTACAGTTGTGAGCCCTCTCTCGTTCACAAGCTGTCAGTCTTATCGAAGCCTTCTCATAACGAGTTGCTTACATAACTTCTTCTATTTTACACGAAAGCGGTCTACACCTTTTCCTGGAAAAGTAATATTGTGAGCCTCTCTTCTTCTGCACAATTCAACAATGAAATCGACCCCCTTTACACCCATGAACATCGCTTCTTCATATGCCATTACTCCAGTCAATGACAAACCCATGAGCATGCCTGAATTTTTTATGAACTAGGTTGTAACCCAAACTATAACTGAGCTTGAGCTGGTTTGGTATGCAAACGTGTTCATTACTTCAACTTAATAAAATAATTGGAAAATATGATAGATCACCTCTCACTAGAGCTAGTTTCATCTGAACAACTTCAAAAATATTTTTCAATGAAAATAAATAATCAATATTTCTTCGATTATGTGGATTATGAAATCAAAATTTTTTATTTTATATAAAAGATTTGATCTTTAATTCTATACTTTAAAGCGTTAAACTCGACATTATACGTGTGGGCAATGAATGATTGATTGCCCGCTGGAATTCTTCGTCGAATAGTGGAGTTTCGGTTCGCTCCTGTCGACCGGTCAACAAGTGCCGCTACTGGTTTTCTTCTTACAATGCCTTATTGCCCTTATTCTTGCCTTACCATCGAACGGTAAAACTCGCAATTTTCCTTATTCATACTTGCAAAGCCCGTTGCAGACATGGATTTGGGCCAGCAAGAATTCGAGCGCATCCTCCTTTTCGAGCACGCCCGCAAGAACGCCGAGGCCACCTATGCGAAGAATCCCCTAGATGTCGAAGTGAATCCCGAACCCGCTCTTCGTCTTTCTTTATCAGCTGCTTCTTGCTTCTTGCATCGTTTACATATCTGGCATTCTACCGGATTTGAAGTTCCTCGTCTTATTTTGCATTCTTATTTATTACTTTTTCTTTCCTTTAGAATCTCACAAATTGGGGAGGAGTGCTCTTGGAATTGTCGCAGTTCCAGAGTACTCGCTCAGATTCAATAAAGTTCGTCAAAGGTATTTGATTTTGTTGCTGATGATCTGCACATGAAGATCATTGACTTCAATTAAACAGTTTTATCATTGTTGGACGGGGCTAATTTGTACATTTCTCTTTTCTCTGCTGTATTGTGTTTTAGTTGCTGTTTCGAAGTTGGAGGAAGCTTTGGAGATTAATCCTAGGAAGCATGATGCCATTTGGACCTTAGGCAATGCACATACTTCCCTCGCATTGTACACAGAGGATCTTGAGGATGCAAAGCCATATTTTGCAAGGGCAACGCAGTGGTACCAGCAGGCATTAGATGAGGTATTTAAATCTACGTTGGTTTTCTTGATTAAATTTATAGGTTGGTCTCCTTTTTCGTGCAGAAGAATGTAAGTTGGCTTTTTGCAGGATCCTGGCAATCAGCTATACATGAACTCTTTGGAATTATCAAGGAAGGTGAGTTACCCGTTTGATGGTCCATTTACATACTTTATTTTCCATTAAAGAAGGCAGAAACATCTGATTTATTGATAGTTCTTCTAATGGATAGTTGCATTTGTTGAGGTGTTGTTTCTAATTTTTTAGATGTTCTTGAGCTATAACTTTTTTGTTTGGTTGACAAAATTCCCTCTCTTCTTATCTACATTAACAAATTTGAATATTGCAAAAGGACATTTTTATTGTATTTGTACTTGAAGTGCTGCAGTCCTCTTCTGTAAAATTGTCTAAATGCAATTAAGATATTTTAAGATAAATTGTTAAATTTTTCTTTTGTATTTCACATACTATGAGAATGAGTCTGTGTCGTATTAAAGCAACCTAAGCGTAACCTAACTAGACCCCTTATCATTATGGAAATCTAACTCTATGTAACTCATAGTCAATATTTTTAAAAGTGCGCTTTGAAGCATGCTTCACGAGCAAAACGGAGCAAAGCTTGTCATGCCTACTTGGCTTCATTGAGGCGTGCTTTGAAGCACTGAAGTTAATTTGCATGTTTTTTTACCAATTTTTAAGTTTTTAATTATTGCAACAAACAATTAGAAATTATTTGAAGTTTTTATTCACAAGTTTACACTCAATATTTGCCTTCAAGTTATGTGTTATACCACTTTTTTTCTATTATATATCAACTCTTAAGTCATTTTTTATATTTTATAATTGTTCATGAATAAATTTATAAACTATTAGTGTTGTATAGTTTATTAGTTCTATTTGATTAATAAAAATGCCGCTTTGCTCTTGGTTTTGTGCTTTGAGGCAAAATTAAAGCCTTGCGCATTGCATTACACTTTACGTTTTAATAACACTATTCAAAGTACATGCAGTTGGAGAAATATTGTTGTTATTTACTTCTTGGAGAAATTTACTTGAAAGTTTCTTTCAATCCAAATTACCTCATATATAAAAATATGAGTCATAACCCTTATAGTTATGACTCTTGCAGAGGTTCGGGTAACAGAGCTACTTTGACTTCCTATTTCCCAACACCTTCTTTGTTATTGATAATCTTAGAGCTTGTGTACTGATTTGTTGTAAAGCTTCATGGTGATGGTGTCTACTTTCCTTTGATTAGTTGTTTAAGGTTAATGATGCTACACTCTTAGCTAAATAGATTTGAAAATATTCATCGTTGCTAGTTTTAGGTTATAATAAGGAGATGATTGAGAATCGTAGATTCAAAGATGAATAAGTTTCGAATCCTATTTTCAGAATTAGACCCTTGTTCGAATGAGGTATGGACATCTATTTGGAGCTTCAAGTTCAATAATTAGTCGTTAAATTGGTTTAAAGAATCTTTGAATGATGTACAAACTTATGATAGAAGTTTCAAGCCTTGTTTGAACCTTATTTGTTTAAAATAAACTCTAACCCCTTGACTACTCGAGAAGTTGTGGTGAAACTAGTCGGTCGAATTACGCAAGTATACATGTCAAGTAATAATGCAGTTAAATAGTACCGTGTATTGATATCACAAGGAAAGTGTTAAGAATTTTTTTGGAGGGCGAATATCTAGTTTATTACACTTCTAAACTTAGTTTAGTGTGATCACAAACAAGCGGTTGTTTTCTAAAATTTACGCAAAAGCAAAAACAGAAGAAATAAGTTCGAAAAAGACAGAAAACTGCGGTAGATAAATCTTACTGTTCTTCAAGGTATGTGAGGCTCGCGCTCCTGTGATTTAGGTGATGTGGTGGTTTGTTATTAGATTTTCCTTTACGTGATAGTTATCAACAGGGATAGAAAGCCTGTCTTATGCCTATGCCTAGATAAAAAGAAGGCTAAAATCTATAAAGTTGAGGCTCCCTCAATCCCCATGGCATCCCGCAGATTTGTTCCGATTCCTTTCTAGGTTGCAAAGCCTGGATTAAATATGTCTATTATTACCCGGATTTTATGGTTAACTATTTCGTTCTTCTGCGCAATGGACAGAAGTCACAAATTATGAAATATGTTATTAACTTAAATTGTCAGATAAGGAGTAAATGCAATTCTATGGTTAACACAATAACAAAAAAAATCCCTTATTCCTCAGGACAACGATACAAGAAAAAAATCATCCCAAAAAATGATAAAAATCATATACCTTTGTTGGAAAAAATGCAGGAAAAATATTCCATTGAAAGCATCATTGTAATTACAACTAAAAAGTAAAAAATTACAAAACAATTTGTTACCTCTTCCACAATAGCCAACTCCTCTCTCATACAATAGACCTCTTAGAATAGTAAGAAAATACAAAATAAGAGGTAGAAACATTCTTAGCATCTCAAATCGTCTCCAGTTCTCTCCCCCTAAGGAACGTTTATATAGCTTAATTCATGAAGTAGGTAAGAAAATTTCTCACAAAAATAATTTCTAGATCAGGCGGCATGGTCACGATCGATAGCGACGTGGTCATGCCGTCTTTTTGCAAATCTGACGTGGTCACGCTGGAATGTGGTATGGTCACGCTGGTGACGATAGCTTGACATGGTTAAGCCTCTTCCAGGCGTGGGCATGTCGTTTTAGGCAGCTTTTGCGCTAGTTTTTCTTATTTCAAAATGCATGTATTTGACACCTATATCCCGCACAACATCAATAATACCTTTCACAAGTGTAATACCATGATAAATTAGTAAAAATAATAGATAAAATATAGGGTAAGAAATAAGTGAAATTACGTGAAATTGATTCATGTCAATACTTCCAAATTTATCTCATTACTTCCTCTCAAGTAATCTCTTAACTCAGTTGAGGATTCATGAGAAAATATATACTTCTAAACTGTTTAGTTTGTTTATCGAAGTCAAATAAAAATGTTTAAATGTCATTTTAGGTCAGTTATTTTTAATGATTAATAACTGAATCTTTTCCTTAATTTTCTTTGTTCTGCCCTTAGTAAATCCCAAGGATACTTAGGATGGTAGTGATTAAAATATCTTCACTAATCTTGAATAGTTCTAAAACAATCTCAGTAGAATCAACCAATTTAATCTTCACTTTTTCCTTGAGGATAACCTCAAAGGAGTTTTATTAAAGAATCATGAGAAAGCTTTATTATTTTAGTTAGTAGCCTCCCTTCTGATTTTTTTTTAATTAGTTGTGCCAACCTCACCCTTCTTTTTCGGGTTTTTTATTTTTTATTTTTAACTTTGTTTTTTTTTCTTTTTTTCTTTTTTCTCATTTTCTTTTTTATTTGCTTTTTCTTTTTCTTCTAAGAATCATTATATATGGTTGACAATATTTTTCTTCTTCTTTTTTAAGTATGAAGATGGATAGTGTTTCTTAAGCAATAAACCTCAAAAAATGATTATTTAACATCACACCTTTTTGTTATTCTTCCATTTAAAAATTAAGATAATATTAAATTGGCTAAAAAAAAACTGAAGAACACTTAAAACATCTTTGACACGCTCCTCAATATTATAATTACACTTTTTAATTATCATGAGTTTTCTTTAGGTACAATTAAAAGTTATTAAGTTCTGAAATCTCATTATTAAAACATTAAGGTTAATCATTCCTAAATGACCTAGCATGAGTTAGTTTATTAATTTTTAACCATTTACCTAGTTATGTGAACTACTTTCAGATTTGTAAAAACATACATATTATCCCCCAAACTTATTTTTTTTCAAGACATGAGGGACTTGTAGTAGCAATAGACGGGTTAAAATGGGTAAGCGCTAGGAAAAGAAAGTATATGCTAGAGTAGTTACATGAATTTCATAAAACCTGGCACAAGAAATCAACATTGATGAAACATAGCATTGTATCATCTAGAAAAAGAAAGCATCGCAGAACAAAAACCTCACTACATATAAGGATCAAAACATATACTATATAACATTCCATAAGCAATCAACAAGGAGAACAACACAAAACAAAACTCAAACACTGCAACATACAAAGAACAACGTAGTAGCCCCTCCAAGAAAATAAGTCATGTAAGATTGATACACCGAAAATATACGCATTTTTAGACCCATTTTGTATACCTTTTTTTTGTGATATTGCATCTTAATGGAAGATATTTTGATTTTTTCTTACATGTTGATTTTTAAGATGTAAAGCAAAAAGGAAGCAAAAAAGATGAAATTTGGAGTCAAAATTATGTTTTTGAAGAAATATTCAGCGCCGACCACACCAATGGCAGCGCCAACCGCAAAGAACAACTGAAATTTTTACTCAGTGCCGATGGCGTCAGACTAGTGTCGACGGCGCCAAAGGCAGTTCAGCCCCCATTTCTAGACAGCCCCCATTTCTAGAATAGCCCCCATTTCTAGAATGTTCAATGTATTTGGACGATTTTTTAAGAGTTTTTGGAGGCACCTCTTGGAGAATTAACCTTGAGTTTTATTTGGGGCTGAAATACATAAAAAAAAGTGACTCCTTTTTGCTCCAAAACGTTCCACCACACTCCGTTTTTCGTCATTCTTCATAATCCATTTTCATTCCACCATCATATTGGAGTCTATTAGTGATTTTTCTTATATAGTTTAGAGTTCATGTGGTGAGATTTAGTGTGAAACTTTCTGTAAGAGTGTTGGAGAAGGAGAAAAGTGAGAGATATTCTTCCTGCATTTATAAGGCTACAAGGGATTTTCTTTGAGAAAGAGTTTCAGATATGTTTTGTTTGTTTATTAGTATTGTATGAATTTTCTTTTATATATGAAATTTGTATTTTGTTGTGTCTTTCTCATAAAGTTTGAGTAGTTCTCTCCATCTTTCTCCCTACTCTGAGATATGGTGAAATGAAGAGATAATATTATGTACCAATATTAAAATATAAAATAAATTATGATGATTTTTCAATTCTAAACTTAATTAAAATTTTGAATCTGGCCAATTGAATTGTTAAAATATGTTGTGAAACATATGATCCGGGTAATGGAGTATGAGTTTTTCAACAGAATGAGGATCACATTTGATTTTATAGAAGAGAAATTCGTTTATGGAATTAAGTGCAAATA